AAGCAGTGCGAAGTTAAAACCGAAATTAGGAAAGTAGGTGACAAGGAAACAAGCAGGGTCCTGGTGTTCACTCTTTAAAACCTGTTAAGCCCCAAGGTCCCCGTCGGCGGGTATTTTTTTTCTTTTTTTCACAACACTGTGTCTCAGGGGATCTTAATAGTGTAGCGACCCTGATAGGATGCTGAGGGTGTCACTCAGGCATCCCCCGTCTCTCTGCCAATCACAGAGCTGCACAGTGATGCTGGTCTAGGTGCGATCCTGTGGTTGGGGGAGCAGACGGGGGAGGGCGGGGAAGTTGTGACGTAGACACTGTTATATATATGGGTATGTGTGGGAGTTAGCGTCAGAGAGTGTGTGAGGTTGAATCCACAAGCTGTTCCTGAATCTGTGATTCTATGAAAAGAAGAGTTATTAAAGCCTAATAACTTGAAGCCGGTTTCCGACTCCATCTGTGAACGTTACAATATTTAAGAACCTATTAATGTGTTATACCAGGTTAACTGGAATAATCTCAGCTAACTGACGATACAAACCATTTTTACCAAAACAAAACACAAGTCTCATAAGAAGCATCTAAATGACCCCTGAGCGAAAAATGCTAACCTATTACTGCACCGATAATCACTCCTAGCTCCCTTATTACTTATCCTAGGTGCACATCCNAGACGCCAGCCCACGTAAATTCAGAAAAGGGCAACTTCTGGGACGAATTGTCTCTAATTTAGGACCGACTCCGGTTTTCGCCCCACAGGAAGTGGGAGTTATCTCGTTGCTGCTCCAGTAGAAAAAACCTGGGGTGTCAGAGGGCCAACTAATAAGACCCGAGGGAGTTATTTCTATAGGAGGGGAGACAGTACTTGGAGCCACTGAGAGCCAGAGATAAAGTATAAGCTATATACTTTATTTACCAAAAAGGATATACAAAAAGAAAAACACTCTTTGCGAGGTGACAAAAAATAAAGAGCTTCAATAAGGCTCAACAAAAAACGCTCATAACGTGAGGAACAAAACTTACAAAAAGTTTTCAGGAGCATGAATCAGGCATGTGTCAAAATAAGCAAATGCTGATGAGCAGAGTTCTGGCATGAGGACAGGAGAAGACGAACTGACGAGGAACAAAGGGAAGCTGGGGACTTATAAACAAAAGGTAACTGGACACAGGTGGAAACAATCAGAGGCGGGGCTGACGCTGATGAGGGCGGGAGACACACACCAAGATAGGAAGTGGGAGACAAGACAGAAAATTATTAAACAAAAACATGAAACATGACTGGACTTAACATTTCTGACGGGACACAACACGGGGCCACTTCAAAATGTTAAACGTGACATTTTCTTTTATTTCAAACATAAAATAATTCTTGCGTGGACCAAAATACAACATGAATTATTATACAAGTGACTATTCTTAACCAAAGTGAGAGAAATGGCATAAAAACACATTGATTCTAATATGGGTCATTTTTGACCCACTTATGGAAGAGTGTAGGGTCCAATCAGTCGTGCATCTGAAGGTAAAACTGATGTATTATGTTGTCTGCTTTAACCTGTTAAGCCCCAGGGTCCCCGCCGGCGGATCTTAATACTTAAGAACCTATTAATGTGTTATACCAGATTAATGGAAATAATCTCAGCTAACTGACGATATAAACCATTTTTACCAAAACAAAACACAAGTCTCATAAGAAGCATCTAAATGACCCCTTAGCGAAAAATGCTAACGGACATTGGCACAGAACTCAAGATAAAAGTACCCTTATTACTTATCGTAGCTGCACATACAAGATCTCCGATTAAAGCTGAGGTTCCACAGATTATTTAGGTATATATATATCATCACTGAGTCATCCGAATTTGCGACAGGGGAAGCAAAGACAGACATCACAACACGTACCTTTACGTAGCTTCTAGGGAGATCGTCTCACCGTAGCTGTTAATCTGATCAAAAGACGTGTTCAATGGCATTAAAACGAGAAAAAACGCGGCTGAATCGGTTAATCCATAGGTTGATAAAGTTNAAATTGGAAGCTTTCCCTGCCGTATGGCCTGATCGTATCACACAGATCTACCTCGAGGCACCATAGATCCCCCACAACCCCCCTCTCACACACATCGGGAATCCTGTCTGACTGCAATAAGAAGCATCCTGGGATGCCCAACACAACTTCCTCAAAACTCAACAGCAATGAATAACTGAATCACTCCTCGCTCGATCGCCGCCTCCAAATCCTTGGTTCGCACCGCTCAGGGGGCAAAACCCCCAACCTGACACGTCGTACCATCGATGCGCACGCCCTGGTTCCCCCTCGCCACCCCAGACGCGCAACCTTGCGCGTGATATTCGACCCCGAGCCCTCTGACGCTCGACCCCCACATCCGCCAGGCGAAGTGCTATGCTAAAAACCTCGCAGTGTTTCCACCTCCGCAACTATACGCCAAACATCCGTCACCTCTCTCACCCGCCCCCCGCAGCCTGAAGCGCGACTCATCGACCGCTCTATTCATATCTCCATCCCGCCTTGACTATTGCAACTCATCGCTTCTCATTCCTCTTCGGGCATCCACAACATCCCTCAACAGACTCCAGTAGGTGGAGTGGCTTATAGGTGAGGACCAGGGAGTTTGTAGAATGCGGTGTGTGAGGACGGGAAGCAGTGGAGGTTCTTTGAGGACCGGGGTGATGTGATGCCCGATGGATTGGTGTGGCAGTGTGACCAGCTGTGTTCTGTCTCGATACCAGACAGCGCAGACCGCCAGGACTCTCAACCCACGACCAGAATTCATGGCAATCATCAGTCCACCCGGTCCTCAAATAACTCACTGGCTTTCCGGTGGTGTTGGGTTTTTGTTTTTTTTATGTGCTCGAGCCGACTGCAGCGCGCGCCATTCACTACAAACCACCAAACGTCCTTACATCCGACGTTGGTGTAGGTCTCTCACCGCCCGCCCTCTGCCTGCAGGTCCCTATAAAGCCCAGTGGGTGAGCTGCCCTCCGACCATCTGGCTTGGCCACGCCAGGCTGTGCCCCGGAGTATGTTCAACCTACCTCAGGGTGGTCGTTGATCGTTGCCGACGTACTCTCCTGCTCATCTCTACCAACACTCCCGTGATCATGTCCCGCTCGAAGAGATCCACCTCAGACCGGCTGCTTGCTGCTCAAATCTTCCCTGGAACGCTGGAAGGCCCAACTCCGGGTCAGCTTCAGTGGGGACAGTGTAGCCTTTTCGCTGTGGACAGAGCGCCCGGAAGCTCAGTGATGGCCCTATGGGAAGAGAGGATTGCAATAGTCAGGGAGAGATGAAAGGGTAATGAGCGCTCATCTGGGTAGGAGAGGGACGGAGTTTGGATATTGCGGAGGTGTAAAAATGATGGTTTTACCAACTGTTGAGGTTAGATGGTGGTGATATCACGCCCAAGTTGCGTGCCTGTGCCTGGTCTGGAGGGGGAAACAGGGGTGCCATCGATGGTGAGTGTCAGGTTGGGGGTTTTGCTGAGGGTGGATTTGGAGCCGATGAGGAGGAGTTCAGTTTTATTGCTGTTGAGTTTGAGGAAGTTGTGTTGCATCCAGGATTTTATTGCAGTCAGACAGGATTCGATGTGTGTGAGAGGGGGGTTGTGGGGGGATTTGGTGCTGAGGTAGATCTGTGTGTCGTCAGCATAGCAGTGAAAGTCCAGGTTGTGATGGCGGAGAATCTGACCAAGGGGGAGGATGTAGATGATGAAGAGGAGGGGGCCGAGTACTGAACCTTGGGGAACACCTTGGGTGACTGAAGCTGTGGTAGAGGAGTGATTGTTGAGGGAGATGAAGTGGGATCTGTCGGAGAGGTAGGACTGGAGCCACCTGAGTGCAGTACCTTCGATACCGATATCCCGGAGTCGGGTAAGCAGGATGGTGTGGCTCACGGTATCGAAGGCTGCACTCAGGTCAAGGCGGATGAGGATGTTGAGGGAACCGGTGTCAGCAGAGGTGAGGAGGGAATTGAGGACTTTGATGAGTGCCGTTTCTGTGCTGTGGTGAGGACGAAAACCAGACTGAAGGGGTTCAAAAAGGTCATTTTTTTGGAGATGGCGGTGGAGTTGTTTTGAGATGATGCGTTCTATTGTTTTAGAGAGAAAGGGGAGGTTGGAGATGGGGCGGTAATTACTGAGGGAGGAGGGATCCAGACCGGGTTTCTTGAGGATCAGTTTTGAAGGCAGAGGGAACGGTTCCTTGGGACAGGGAGGAGTTGAAAAGGTTGTATGTGGGACTATGTGGGACTATGTGGGAGTTCCCCTCGATTCCATTGGCTCTGACGGTTAGAAAGAGATGTCACATGTCAAAATCCAGCAGGGGGAGCCAGAGATGTGAAAAATCCACCCAAATGGCCCCAGAAGAGGTTTTTTTTTGCTAAATCTGTCTAAAAAGGTCAAATATCACTTGTTTTGCATCAATATTGATACAGGGTACTTATTATATGTTGTACTTTGGATTCCTAAAGCTTTTAGTCTACTAACCCATCATCCAAGGTGAGTTTTCACTATAAGTACAAAACAGTTTTTTACTATGTTCAATCTGAATTTTCTTTAAAATAAAAAACATCTATATTGATTCTGACTTTTCTACATCCAACTCACAGGTTTATCATTACTTTGAGAAAAAATATTATTAATTTAACCTTTTTAGAAGGGACGATATGGTCATTTGTTCTGGGAATGTCATTTTCGAGCCTGAGACCTGAAAAACAGGGATGGGGTTCAACAGGTTTTAAGAGAACAAAAAGATTTAGGGTTAAATTGATAAGAGGATTTCAAATGTCATGCCAAATACAGGGCTGGATATTCAGTATGTTCTTATATTCACTTCAACAACATGCTTTAGAAGTGAATTAATGCACTTGCATCTTACTAGATCATTCAGCAGTATTGGGAACCTTAACTAAGTCCACTAAGATAAAATAAAAATCATGCGGCTGCACAGCTTGAGTTTTTGCAAGGTGAAACCATATAAAAAAAGAGACACATGATTTTAGAAGCCATTTTATTACATTCATACATTTTCAACAACAATAGCCTTAAATGTCATATGTTCACAGCCCCCAACCACAATGATAAACATGAGGTAGATCACCCGGACACCAAGGCTAACACTGGGCTGCACATGGTTTTCAAACACATTTCAGTGAAGATTGTGTGAGCAAGTTGCATATTAAGTGTTAAATTATTCAAAAGAAAGACACATTCTACGGACCATTGGAGTTTAACTTAAAATGTTGATCACCAGTCTTATATTTGGACTAATTTGGGGGCGTGCAATTAACAGTGGGAAATATATTTTTTCTGCTGGCAACTAGTGCAAGTTTACATTTCCTTCCCCCATTGACATTCAATAGATCTAAGAATCATTCTTTGGCTCTTGTGCAAAGCCTTCACGGATGGTTTTGAAGAGGACAAACTCCCTAATTTTAAGCGAGCTAAGCATGCAATCAAATATTACACTTCAATATGATTATCAGTCCAAAACGCTTGTCAAATAAATAAGAATCCCTCATGGACCTGATTTTCATTTTCAATAAAAATCCAACACAAGAACAGGACGGGATACAGACATATGGTTAAGGACACATCTAGGTAGATTCTTTTTGCCATTGCAACATCAAATAAAATGCAGAAAGACGTCATGACTGAAACAGACTGGCAGAAGTTACACAAGACTAAAAAAACATCAGTAACCCTCAGTGGTTTGGGGAATGATATAATATATTAATAATGTAAACAAAGCTTTAAACAGTACAGTACGAAATGCAATTATTTCATTTTGCTTCAATCAGACAAACTACACTTCTTCGCCTCACAGTTAAATGGTTTCTTCATTCTTATTGGTCCAAAAAAATAATGACTTAAGCTGTGACTGTATGAAACGTCACCTAAGGCACATTCTTTGGACAACCCTGCACATAAACATACAAAAACATTCTTCTTTCAAGTATATGAAATGATCTGGTCAGCTGCTTTCGACAGTTTGAAACCCTTTCCTTGATTTTCCTCTGTTATGGGGACAAAAGGTTGGCAGATTGTGAGTGTGGATGGTAGCCATTACCATCTACTTACAATAAACCTCAGAACATTGTAACAGGAAGTGAAATCCCAGGCACAGTCAGTAGCAGGATATTTGGCAGTGAAGAGGCTGGTTTATTATATGGCATTTACTGACTTTATGTGATTATGCTAAAATACCCAGTATTCAAGTCAGTAGATGCCTAACCAAAACATATGTAATGTAAAACATACCAGTAAACTAATCCCACTTCCATGATGCTCAGCCTGATTGGCATAAAATATTAACAGATACGTTGTAAAAGCAAAACAACACAGATAAGTCTGTTCTAGACAACACACCTGCTTCAAAGCTGTGTAGTTAAGCCAACACACAACTATTTCTTAAAAGGACACAACTTGTACTTTTCTCTAGTTGTAGTCAAAGTCTTTGGATAAATGAATGTGTCAGTCATTTACAGACTAAACCACACTCATATAGCTCCCCGTCAGAAGGATTATCAGTGCCACATAAATATTTTTTGAGGCACAAGAAAAAAGGAGTCCCCATTTTCATTTGTGTTATGATTCAAATAGGCTACAGGCCATTCTCTGTGTTGATATTTATTTAATGTAGTGTGTTGACTTGTCAATGAGCTTTGTTTGAGAGGCAGGGCAGGCGAGGAGGGACAAGAAAAGCGAAGGGAAAAGGCAAGGTAAAGCTGAGATGTCTTTAGTGCCAACATAAGTTAATGCCAACAATACACGGTGAGAACAGCTTCAGCGACCTCCCTTTGATCTCCCTTTAAAACCCTGAGATAAACAGTATACCCAGAAAAGGACATACAGCTGGCAAAGTACATATATTTATGTACAGATACATTCTTCAAATAGTCACATCATTGATCTGGGATCGTCCATTTATGCAAACCTCAAAACAAATAAAGTTCAGTTTCAGCTGGGCTTTTTCCACATCAGTCTTTTCTTTTGTAGAACACAAGCTCGAGTGGAGACCAACCCAGCGCCAAGCAAAAGTTAAAACAAGCACCGACCCTGTTCAGAGCCAGGCATAGTGCACATGTGTCCACCTGTGGGGCACTTTGGATCTTGGGCTCCAGCTTTTCCCCTCTGCCCTTCCATTGGAAAGGCAAGAATTACGATCGCTGGCTCGTTTGGGATAAAGTATTTCCTCCTTTTTTATAATGTTTCTACAGCCGAGCAGTGGATCCATGTGTCAGGTTCAAACATGGCGGCCAGTCAGAAAGTAGAGGGGCCGGTCCTCACTGCAGTTGGCGGTCTGAAACTCGTCCCGCAGGCGGAACTGCCACTCATCCTCCAGCTCCAGTCGGACGATGGTCTGACGCAGGGAGCTCCGGTCTTGGCAGATCACGCAGAGAGTGGCGCCTGCGGACATGAACAAGACTTAAAAAAAATGTTCCCAGAGTGTAAAAGCCCTGTTATAAACCCTTATACACTTGCTTGCTGCTTATTTTATCTACCCAGGCTTGTGATATATTTATTAATCTATTTGCACCCGCACTGCGAGGGGGACCCAAGTTCCCATCAGCAAAAACACGTTGGTTTGCTATCCTGGCTCCAAAATGGTGGAATGAGCTCCCCATTGACATCAGGACAGCAGAAAGTTTACACATCTTCCGGCGCAGACTGAAAATACATCTCTTTCGACTCCACTTCGAGCAATAAAATGAAAAAACCACTTATATACTAACAAAGCACTTATATACTAATAAAGGACTGACTTATCTAAAGCCAGTTGAGTAGCACTTGAAATGTTTGGCTCTATGAAACCTGATATACTTATATGATTCTGTTTTCTTCAAGTTTGTATCTTCTTGGTCGAATGTACTTATTGTAAGTCGCTTTGGATACAAACGTCAGCTAAATGCAATGTAATGTAATGTAATGCTAATATGCATTAACTTATGAGTACAAAAAGGCAACAATCACAGAAAGACACATGGAAAAATATATATACCTAGGCATGCTCAAGACAGTTTTCTCAAATACTACATGTTATTGATGATTTACAATATTATCTAGGCAAAAATAAAAACATGATTTAAACTCTTGAAATGGACAAAAGTTTTGTTAGCACATTTTTTTTTATAGATAGGACCCCTTATTTTCAATAAAGTATATTCTAAATAAAATACATATTTCTCCCATTATAATTCCTTAATTTTTAAATCAGGTTATTGTGAGGGTTGTTTTTCTCACATGACAGAACAAAAACCAGTGTGGTGTCAGAGTCAAAATCTACAGAGGCAGGGGCCAAACTACTGATGTGTCACCTTTGAGGAAGCGGAATTTCTTGAGGAGTCCAGAAACGACGAAGGAGTCACAGAGGTAAAGCAGCAGGCCGCTGAACAGCACGCCCTGATGGCTCAGGTTGGTGGAGTGTGGACGAGAGTTGATGTAGCACACAGAAATCTGGGACAAAAGATATAACCATAAACAATTGATTATTTCTACTAAATCAAACTAAAGGTAACATCAAGTGACATTTCTTAGCACACAATTAATTAAAATATCCCTATGAAACCTATATAATGAGCAATTGGAGCTAGTGTATAGGTTGAAATGCGTGGAACATGATTTATTTCCATAACAGGAGAAAATGCAAACGCAGAAAATGTGCAGAGAAAGTCACCTTACGTGCAGAAACGCACATCAAAACTCTGCACTGCTAGCATTCAGTGTTTGCATGTGCGTTGATGCAGGTCAGAATGTTCTTAGCAAAACAGATGGTAAAATAATGCAATGCGTTTCTCTGTGGTTTAGGATAATTATACAAACTTCAGGTTTAGAAAACCTATTAAACTCAGTCAGCATGTTTTCTCAGCAAAAGCTTTAGAAATTCTCCTGAAACAGTAGTCAAATATGAACAAAGCTTTTCACAATAGTTTGGTCTTCCTATAGGGCAGGGGTGGGGAACCTTTTTCCTCTCAAGGGCCATTTCAATTTTTTCAACATCCTCCGAGGGCCGTACAAATTATTGACCTCTGCTTAAAAATACAAAAATCACGGCCCATTCATTTGGCCTTTCTATCATGCTGTGCAAAGAAAAAGCAACCTCTTAATCCAGATATCTTACCATGACTTTCCTATCCATGTGGACATGATTTAAGTGGGGGGGGGGACCTAACCGTCTTAGGGGGGTCCGGGGGCATGCTCCCCCGGCAAGGTTTTTTTTAAATGTTGAAGTTAAAAG